ACCGGAGGGCCAGTACTAAACCAACCATGCCACACGACCCACTAAAAGGAGTGTGCAACTAGGATCCAACTAGCTCCATAGACATTACCTATCTACTCATCATGAGTAAGATAGCGAGGTCTCATACCCGGAGTGACCTAGGTTCGAGGCCAGGTCAGGGAGGATTGTTATATATCTATATCAATGCGGTATTGCATTATTCCATCTTTCATATATATATATATATATATATATATATATATATATATATATATATATATATATATATATATATGTATGTATATATACATATACATATATATACATACCTTCACATACATATGTGTGTGTGTGTGTGTTTCCATATGTGTATGTGTGTGTATAATATGTATACACACACACACACACACACACAACACACACACACACACACACACACACACACACACACACACACACACACACACACACACACACATATATATATATATATATATATATATATATATATATATATATATGTGTGTGTGTGTGTGTGTGTGTGTGTGTGTGTGTGTGTGTGTGTGTGTATGTATATGTATATGTATTTATACATATTTATATTATATATATATATATATATATATATATATATATATATATATATATATATATATATATATATATGTATATATATAGATAGATAGATAGATAGAAAGAGGGAGATAGAAAAAGATATATATATATATATATATATATATATATATATATATATATATATATATATATGTATATATATATACATAAAGAGAGAGAGGGAGAGAGAATGTATATATATGTGTATTTATATATATACATACATATATATATATATATATATATATATATATATATATATATATATATATATATATATATATATATGAAAATATATATAAATATATCGACAGGCCCCCACCACACCTTACAGCACTTTCAGCTTGCTATTAGGCCAATAATCTGAAATTCCCTTAACTCACAGAATCTCCCATAGCGTTTCTCGATGCACCGAGTCAAACGCTTTCTTTGAGTCGATGTAGGCTGCAAGCAACTCACAACGGCGTTCCACAATTATTCGAAGTGCTAGGATATGGTCTATCGTGGACTTGTCAGAAATTAATCCAGACTACTCTGGTCTCTGGTGCCTTAGTAGGTGGTCACAGATTCGTTTCAGAATAATGTGGGCGAAAACCTTGCCTAGTAGACTGAGCAGTGCTATGCCCAGGTAGTTTCTACAATCCCAATGATCCACTTTCCCCTTCCAGAGAGGGATGACCGTTCCCCTCAACAGGTCAAGGGAAATGGAACCAGACTGCCAGATGGCAGTCAAGACTGTATGCAAGCCTCATGCCATAGTTTCACCCCCAGCCTTAAGCAGTTCAGCAGGGATATCACATATACTTGGAATCTAACCTTAGTAGGGTAGGGGGTTCCTCGCTGATGACGGATCCGGCACAGGTATTGTGATACCACATTCATCCAAGGTAACTGTTGGAGGGTCTACCTGATACAGCTGCTCAAAATATTCAGCTCAATGTTCACCAATCCCAACATGATCTGAGATGATCTGTCCATCCACTGAGCGGACTGCAGTCATCTGCGAGGAGGACTTTGGATTCAGCTTTTTCAGGGCTTGGTAGGCAAGATTCCTGATGAACTGTTCCTTGTCCATTTTCATTAGCGTCTGAGCCCTATGCACCTAGGAGAGATGCAAGTCCTGATTGCCATTCAGCCGAGCTTCAGTGGCCTCCAGGGAGATGAAGTACCAGGAGCTAGAAATCCTAATTCTCTGGGACCCAGCAAAGTCCTGGAGAAAGTAGTTGTTCTCATTGCTGGAATCCCGAGGCACGGGGGTCAACAGACATCTCATAGCCAGCTCGATCACAGCCAGATATTGCATTGAAGTCACCCAGAAGAATGTGAATCTCTCTTTCACATTGAGTTTGCAAACATCAGTAATGAGAGACATGAAGCCAAAAGCATGCATCAGTCTCAATGCCATAATACGCTTATCAACCAGTGTTACCTCAACTACCGAGGGATGAGGTCGGCTGGAGATGTCTATTGCTACTAACCTGAGGTTAAACCTCGGACGGTCATTCCAGGTGGATGCCACCTCTGCCACTCCAGCCACTGCTCCAAATAAAGGGCGGCAGCAGGCTGTGGGGCCCAACGTCTACCTGTAGGGTTCCCTTGAGCTTTGCCTCACAGGCCTCCTTCTGGGTTGGCGCCTGCTGGGGACAAGTAATTCTCGTTCCCATCCCAACGGGACCCACAGCCCGCCTCGCTTGCTGGGTGGGAGGGACAGCACCCCTTTCCCCAGCATATCCATTTATTTCGGTCGCTGCCGGTGAGTTATCTGGGCCGCCCATTAACCCCAGGGTGGCTAGGGTTAATGCATATATATGTATAGATATGTGTGCATACATATATCAGATGTGCAGGAAAACCCATATCATTCATATTATTGTATGTTGTGAGTCAACTGTATCGAATGTCTTCT